TATCAGCACAATTCATATTGATATCACCAAGAATCACAAACTCTTTTGATTTTATGCCTATTATAATGTCAGTGAGCTTTTCACCATGCTCTAGTGGGCCCAGTATTATGAAACTTTCCAGTTCCATAGAACTAGAGTAAATATGGGGAGGTGCAAAGATTCAGATGTGGGCGTGGCTAATTGGCTCTCTAGCACCATGTAAACATCAGCCCCTCTCATGACTTAAACATACACGTGAAATTTGGTACACAGGGTACATCAGTCCAGTACTGACAAAAAAGTCTCTTGGCACCATGTTCTAAAACYTGCAGGAAGTCGGCCATTTTGAAAAAATGACACATTTTGGTGACATGTCATGCCAAACGTTATTTCGTCCTCAAATATGATCGTTTTATCTTCAAATTTGGACCAAAGCTTCTTGACAGGACGGTGCACAAAACTTGAACAGTAAGAACTTAGGATTTTTCTGAATACATCCATTTCTATTTGAACATTTTGTTGGTCGTAATGTCACTGCAGCTTGTTCAAACTGTCCAAAAATATATAAGATAGATATTCAGTCTTGATCATGGCCACATGCAAATAATGTGGATTGACCACTGCACTACCCAGTGGCAGCAGAAAAATACCCTATTGTGTTTGAGATAATCTCTCACTCAAATATTTCATCCTAATGGTTTCAAATTGTGGTGTAAAGTTTAGAGCTTTTTAAAACAAAAACATATTCAGTACTATCAGCTGCCAAAGGGCACGGCCAGGACATTTTGGGGGCATTGAACTCATCCCCAAAAGTACATAACTACCACTTTCACAATGTTCTAGATGGCTGAGCATTATGAAACTTGGCAGATATTTAGAACCTGTGAAAATTTTGGGAGGAGCAAACATCCAGATGTGGGTGTGACAAATTGGTTCTGTGGCACTCTCTAAACAACAGCCCCTAGTATGAATTAAACATACACTTGTGAAATTTTTTACACATGTACGTCAGTCCAGTACTGACAAAAAAGTCTCTTGGTACCATGTTCAACTTACAGAAAGCCGGCCATTTTGAAAAAAATTACATATTTTGGCGATTCTCACGTCATGTCAAATGCTATTTCGTCCTCAAATTTGAACACATCAACTTCAGATTTGGACCAAAGCTTCATAACAAGATGGTGCCCAAAAGTTATCAATAATTTTTCAAAACTTGAATGGTGTGGGTGTGGGTGTTTTCTGAATACACCTATTTCTGCTGTAACACTTTGTTGGGGTTAACATCACTGTTCAAATTGTACAAAAATATGATAGATTGGCATCCAGTCCTGAACATAGCGACCCACTTCGGATGTTATCATTCATGAGATGGACGTTATTAGGCGTTATCAATCCCCTAGAATGGCTTCAGAATGTCTCACCTGTACCGGTTAGCAGGTTCCCCGTCCCATAGAATGGCTTCTGATTGTCAGCTGGTTAATATGGGGCATAAAACCACTATCTGGTTAATAAGAGACATAAAAAACTGGTTAATATGAGGCTTAAATCCACTAAGGTTAACTTTAGAGCAAATGACATGGTTTAGTGCCAAAGACTCTGCCCTCCAATGGTTGTATATTAAGGCCTTCCAATAGGGCAATGAGTAGAGTGCTGGACCAGATAGTGGGAGTCAAGGGCTTGAGACCAACACAGGCACAAATAATTTATTACACTTTTGGTTATTTACACATTCATTGTCATTGATGTATTAACCCACTAGGGGTCACTGTCTGGACAGTCTGAAGCCTAGAAGGCACAGTAGGGACCCTCTGAAGCCATTGTATGGGACTGATAACGCCTAATAATGTCCATTTCATGGACTGATAACATCAGAATCCCCTGACATAGCCTATGTGCAAATGTTGTGGATTGCCCACTGCGACATTGCTGACGTATAAAAAAGAACTTTTGTTTGAAAGATCTCCCACTCAAACCTTCTGTCCTGGC